TAACATGTTGTTACTGTAGCCTCACACACATTTTTTTGGGTTTGGGGGCCACTAACCCACAGAAAAAATCATGGCCCTCAACTGAAAGGCACTTCCCACATTCCCTTCACACTTCAAATCCTAGGGGGCCTAATCTAGTAGATTTTGTGCCCCCCCTCCATGCTCTGGGCAAAAGTGAGGGATTCAGTGTATGGGGGCTGCCAGCAAGCATGCTTGGAGTGTGGGGTATGGGAGGGTGCAGAAGAAGACTCAGGATGGGAGGCCTAGGCAGGAGGTTGGGTGCAGGAGCAGAGTGGGGACGTGGGAGTTGGGCAGGAGTAAGGTGTTGGTGCTTCAACCCCATGTAGAGTGGGTCCATGGGGGGGAGGGGAGAGAAGGGATGCAGGACATTAGCACCAGTGCCAGCTTCCCAATGCCGGGGGGAGAGGGGGAGGAACCCTACACCTCAGGTGCCAGATCCAGGCAAGTCAGGGACCAGATCAGGCTTCTGGGCCATAGGTTCCCCATCACTGCTCTAGAGGCGGCATGACAGAGGTAGAAGTGAGGAAAAACAACAGATGTACAGCAATGGCTACAAATACTTCACTGCAGAAACTGAACTTGATGATGAACCCACAGTATCCCGCTGGATTGCACCATTCTCTCCTCTGGATAGTACATACACAGCAGCCCAGTACCAAAGAGGTTGGTGGTGTGTGTATCAGAAATACACAAAGGGTACGTCTAGACTACAGGCTTTTGTCGACAGAAGTTTTGTCGACAGATACTATCGACAAAACTTCTGTCGACAAAGAGCGTCTACACTACATTGAGTTCTGTCGACAAAGCAAGCTGCTTTGTCGACATGGTAGTGTAGACGCAAAGGACAGTTTACATGCAATAACACCTTCTGTCGACAGAAACTCTGTCGACAGAAGGCATTATGCCTCGTAAAATGAGGTTTACCAGCGTAGACAAAACTGCTGAGTTCTGTCGACGTTCTGTCGACAGAACTCAGCGGTAGTGTAGACGCAGGTATAGTTTTGTCGACAAAAGTCCACTTTTGTCGACAAAACTCTGTAGTCTAGACACACCCAAAGAGAGAGAGAGAGAGACATACAAGGCATTGCCCCTTAAAGTATGCTAGCCCTGCTTCAAGTACACTGCCCTCAAAAGTAGACCAGGAAGTTGTTCTATAGCTGTAATATCCTGCTTTGTGGAGAAAATGTAACATTGCCCCTGAATCTTCAAGGCCATACAGAAAAAAGTCTGTGTCCATGCTGAAAACGTTAGGCCCTTCAAAAGGGTGGTAGTCAACAATATTCCACTCTTCTCTCAGGAGTAAAGACAACTAGAGCTAGGACGCTCTTTGTATAACCATAGCAGTAGCCAAGAATTTAGAAGCAATTTTAGTGGCATTGAAAGCAGCTTTCACAGAGAATTTCATAATCAACTCAGAAATGATTCTCAGAAATAAGGGTCTGAAATTAATCCTCTTCATCTTGTGGAGTGAAATTAATTTACAGTAAATGTTAAAATCATACATTGCAATCAAGTGCTGGTGGTTTGCTACTCAAAACTGAAGAGTTCCCCCACAAGTAGTTTTCCTGGCCAGGGTATGCAATCATTTGGACGCTGAAGGATTTGGAGCGAGCTTGACAGTTTCATATATTAACTGTGTCCACCAACATGGAATTAGGGGTGGGAGAGACAATCGCATGCATTTGGCTGGAATATAATGTTTTTTTTTTTTTTTTTTTATAAATAAGACCTCTTGTAGTTGGCTGGATCAGTGGCAGAGCCTCATTGACTGGCAGAGTGATATTTCCCTGGGGAGTAATATTTAAAATGCCCACCAGGGAATGTTGAAACTCTTGAACCTCTCCTACACTACAAAGTTAATTCTACACTACAAAGTTAATTCGAACTAACAAACATTAGTTTGAATTAACTTTGATAGGCACTATACTAGCGCTCCGCTAGTTCGAACTTAATTCGAACTAGCGGAGCGTTTAGTTCGAACTAGGTAAACCTCATTCTATGAGGACTAAGCCTAGTTCGAACTTACTAGTTCGAATTAAGGGGTGTGTAGCCCCTTAATTCGAACTAGTGGGAGGCTAGCCCTCCCCAGCTTTCCCTGGTGGCCACTCTGGCCAACACCAGGGAAACTCCGTTTAGTTCGAACTAGGTAAACCTCATTCTATGAGGACTAAGCCTAGTTCGAACTTACTAGTTCGAATTAAGGGGTGTGTAGCCCCTTAATTCGAACTAGTGGGAGGCTAGCCCTCCCCAGCTTTCCCTGGTGGCCACTCTGGAAACTCGTATGCCTCCCTCCCGGCCCCCCTCCTGGCCCCGGAGCCCTTAAAGGGGAACGGGCTGGCTACGGTGCCCATGCCAGGTGCAAGCCTGCCAGCACCCAGCCAGCAGACCCCGCACCTGGCACGGCCCA